TTAATTATAAGTGTAGATATGGTACATGGTTTCTTTTAAATCGAGAGAAACCATGGATCGATGCAACAGTTGCAGGAGAATGTCGAAACGTGGCAGTAAAGTAACGGTGTCCCGGTAGTTTCATCGTTTCCGCGATATTTTAGCACGATTTTCCTTACCGGAAAATTTGACCGGCTCCAGGACGTTAAACGATTTTCGATTCGACGCTGGTGTGGGAGCAGACACGTCCAGGTCTCGTCTAGCTATATAAATTTCTAACGTAATATTCGAGAAACATTCTTCACACTCGTAGATCCCCGAGGGTTAGACGTCTGGCGTCAAGCCAATCAGAGTAGGACTCTTCGTGAAGTTTTGCACGCTATCCCGTGATTTCGTGCCAACGATCCTACCGGCCTCTTAGGAAGAAGAACTTTTTGAATTGTGGCACGTTAATCAGTTCCCATTTTTTTTGCGCACTGCGACGTGCTACACTTACCTCGTTTCGTTCTATTTTTCTGCCCCTCCTCGCCATCCCCATTCCACGCTGATTCGTCAAACGTTTATTGTCAGCTGTACACTATCGAACAGACTAGGCTTCCCTAGGGAAGAAGGATAACAGGTGAAGCAGAAATTTTTTAAACTTCTTATTTTGACGATACTAATATTAAAAGTAATTTAAACAGCAAATAAATGTTGCAAATCGATGAATCGTGATTTGTTGTTCGCAACGCGTTCGAAAATGAATATATTCAATTTCTTAATGAATTATATTTTGTTCTCTAACAAGGAATCACCGTGTGATCATCTTATTTCTGAGAATCCTGAGACCTCAGGGTGCACTATTCAAATGCAATGCCACGAAAAGGTGACAACCTCGTTCTTTGTTGGTAATAAATTGTGGCAGGAAATTCTTGTTCTCTCGTGACTAGCAGAAGAGCACGCGGCATGGAACAAAGCGACACGTGAAGGTTTGAAGGGTGGTCGGTGAAAGGGCTGTTTTCATCGTTCGATATGAATCGCTTTGTGTGTAAATTCAGCAGAGTGACTGCAACCGTTTGACGATCGGTTGTGTGAATGTCGACACGTTCTTTGACGACATTCTCATGTCACTGAGCACTGTAGATGCTTTTCGAGAATTTCATTCACCAACGGTTTTTGATGTTCAATGACTTGTCTCGTCGAATTTATTCCCCTTTGTTAATACTTCATACTCACTTATTTTTGTTTTTGACCACAGTTTTCCACTGGATGACTGCAAATTCTCGATTAAGTGCATGCAGAAGTTTTAAATTGTTCTTTTTCTTTTCAACTAATAAATTTTCCCCTTTGCATTTTTGAGGGATTTTTGTCAGAATCGAAATATTGAAATTTATGCAGTTATGAATATTGATGTGCCTTTTATAGCTGAGATATAAGACTCTCACGCAGTCATAGGAAATTCAGGAAGCAATGATTTTCAATTATCAATTGCAAGTTCACACGGTCGTGAAGCGAATAGATTGGAGAATCGTTAGGCTTCAAATATTCAACATTTCAGTCCCTAAATTGGAATGGTCCTTCAAACCAGTTCGAAGCGTTACAACGTGCGAAATTCGTGGAAGGATCGTTGCTGATGGCAGCATCCTGTACAATGTATTTAACAAGCGTATGCTTCGATTGCTCTTCATATCGTTGACATCAATTTACCTGGACACGTCAAAGAGTAAACTAATATTTGATGACATTCCTCGTTGAATCAGTTCCTCTAAATTGAAAACGGTGTTATTACCATTGGCATTATGCAAGGATTTCATTCATTTTTAAGGTCATTTCCTTTATTAATATTTATTCAATTCATTATTTTTATTCTATTTCCTGGAGAATATATAAAAATTTGAAAATGATAAAATTAATATTTAATGATACTTCTAATTAGGTTTGAATAATTAATTTTCAAATACTATCTAATTAAAACAAAACTGTTTGAAAAAGTATTCCCAACAATCTGTACTTGAAATACACTTGCCACTGATCGTAATTACATTCGAACCTGCCAATAACTAATATGAATCCGTAATTAGAAACCTAATCATGCGGAACAAAGACAAATTCGATTGAACCGAAAGGCAAATCGTGTCCCACGCGAAATTTCGTCGTGTATTTGAACCTCCAGAGGTTTCCCAACGTTCCAGCTTCAGGTACACGGTTGTCCCAGGGGATATGTAATTTCACGCGTCCAATAGCCTGCATCTTCACGTCTATATCGCCGTTAAATCCGTCTGCAAAGGGCAGCCTGGAATGCCCCACAGCAACGAGATACTGTCATATCCGTGCCACCTCCTCCATCTCGACCTTTAACACTTGACACGTAAGAAACTATATAGAGTTGGACGATTGCTCTTGCTTCGGGTAACAATGTCAGATGTTAACTGACACGAAGCAGGAACCCTTTCAAGGTATGTGGACCGGACGAGGATCTCGCCCTTTGCCGGAAATACGTTTGGGAAATTAAGGAGCCAGGTTAATATTGTGTCCCTGGATCCTGCTCTCTGTAAGCGTCAGGCTTTTACACGTTTCATATCCCTCCTATCCACCTTTCTCTAGCTGTGCTTAATGAAGTATCGTGTTAAATTGTGTACCATCCATCATCATTCGTATATTTTATTATAGGAAGAGATTTAGAAAGAGATGATTAATTTTGATTCTATATATGTAGAGAAAAATTGACACCTTTTGTAGGCGAAGCAAAAATAATTATTATAAATTGGTGAAAAGGAAGAAATATCGAAGACAAGTTTGAACGCACACTTACGACAAATGGAATATTATGAGAGGTGCACTGCTAATTAATTAGAAACCATCCGAACGCTCGTGATGAATAGGTTGCGTAACGGGATCATTAAAGCCTCAGCAAATTCCGTGCAGAGTTGGTGCGGTGTGTAATTAGCTTGTCCGCGGATACGGTTCGTGGTAAATAATTTTCCAACGACGATTCGTTGATTACAGCTTGACACGTTCTGCGTGCTTCAACTTTAAAACGTTTCCGCGGGATTCGTGTTGCTCGCGAGGGCAAGCAATGTACATAATTTGCTAATCAAGCATATTAGTAAGTAAGTCTGGCTAACGAACGCTAGGCAGACAATTCGCACGTTAGCAGCCACAAATGAGCCAGGAAACTGTTTTTGCGAATATCACCGGCCCTCGTAAGCTTCCCGGCTCAGTTATAATCCGTGCTAATTTTCGGCATTGTACTCGCTTTAAGTCACGGGATCGGAAATGCTCCCTAAGCACGTGAACTCCGGTAATCTGTGTACAGTTGAACTTGGGAACACCTGTTCCATTTCACTGCCGCCACTAATTATTCAATTAGCCATTCCACGAGTATCGCGGGCATAGAATCGGATACACCTCCTATGTGTATCAATGCTGTTCAATTTAATCCATTCGAGTGGTACAATAGTTTCTAAACTATGGACTATGATTGAAAAACAATTTTTTCAATTCTTTTAAAGTACAGCAGATTCTTTCCAGTACGGAAAGTTATTAATTACTCTTCGTTTTTATTTCACATATAAATCACACCCCTTAAGCATTTCAAGATTTCCCTGCTCCCACGGAACAAGGTATCATCTCGGCTTTGATCTTTATCCGTGCAACCGGGTCTCCGTTATTGTCTCTGTTCAATGTATTCGCACAGTTTTCCGTTTGTTCAAAGAGTTTTACCGGTGCTCGGTATTTCACGATAAATTTTACATTCATCCTGGATCTACGCATTTACATTTCATATTTATATTCCTTTATCGTATTCGAAAATACAGGGAAAATATATGGGGATCATTTCGTGTGGCATTTAAAACGAACAAAACCTCCTTCCGTCGAAGTGTATAAATTTTCCATATGAATTTATGTGTCTCTTCCACTCTCTTTTTTTATTGGAATTTGACGATACGTGGATTGTAATCACGTTTTGTTCATTTATGCTTCACATTTTTATCTCTTTGTGCTATATTTTTACCGTATTGTACTCTTGATAATTATTATTTTTCATATACATTAGAGGAATAATATTTAGTAGTTGAATATATGATTATGGGTAATTGTAAAATGCAATAGTATATAAAGTATTTATGGCATTTGAAGAATACTATATTTTTTAAAATTTTATAATTTATTTTTAACATATTAAATATTTAATATATTCAAATGTATGTGTTATTCAAAGGGAAGGAGGCTTGTTTGAAAAGTTGCCTAGGAATTTTCGGAAATTAAGGTAGAACAATTAGGTGAGTAAAGCACTGTCAACCAGGTCCAGGCAAACATGTCTGTCCAAGGATCTGAGTTTGTGATGTTGCATGGCATTAAACTAACTTCTGATGTTCTGAGCCCTTTGTTCAGTCTCCTGCTCTTAACTGCATCTCAGAGTGTCGTGTTAGTTTCCGTCGAGTTTCTAAGGTATTGCTTACAAACAAACTTGCAGATTTTCCATCGATTATGCAGTTTAAGAGTAAACTGTTAATCCGGATGAGTCAGTAAAAATGATGAAATTTATTCTTACTTTTGAAAAGAGATACAAATTTAGCAATTTCAATAGGATATTATCAAAGCGAGAAGTCAATTCAACGGGTAATAACGAATTTAATTTTAGCGAACTGTATTTGATTTAACGAGGATTTTGAGGCGTGGCAGGTTTCATTGGCATTCAACAGGTTTAATTATTTGTTTGCATTAGTTAGGTGAATGAGATAAATTGTCTGATGCGGATGAAACGAAACGAACATAAATTTATTTTTATTAGAAAATATCCGTATCAAATTTATTGATTAAATATTTCATATCTCGTTATTTTAACATCGTTTCATTTGCACATCTTCAAACATAGATATAATGCATTATACTTATCTGACATTTATAGAAATATTTTTAAATCTACCCCCTTTGAAATATCTATTCATATACATGGCTTTTCTGAAAATTTGTATTCCCTTTCCTACATAGAATATCCGCGAAGACCACTCACGATGTTTCTGTGATTTATGTTCCAGCTGTGTGGGTGGTGACTTTGTAAAAGTGTTTCTACATTTGGAGACCACCGGTGTTTCCGAGTATACCCCTTGGTCCGGTGTGCTTTGCGGGGATCTGCGTGACATCCCGCAGGTTCTCTACAGTTCAAGATCTACGCTTATTTTGGAGTTCCACACACAGGGACCCCCGTCTAATGCGACCGGCTTTTTCGGGAATTTTCACTTCATCAACAGACGTGAGTAATTGATTACATTGCATGATTCCTACGATCTTATTTCTGCCCAAAAAGGGCACTAGATTTTTTAAATTTTAATTTATTATTGATCGTTATTGAATAGATAATTATCTGTAGTTATAAAAAAAAAAAAAAACGAAAAATTCATTAGCCAAATGGCAACAAACATGAATAGCTAAATAGCAATCGGAAAATCACGACAGAATTGAGAAGCTGGTTCACTCGACGTAGCTTGTCGAGGAACTTCAGATTTCGTTTTACGAAACTCTTTCAAGTGGGTTCACCCTTTATCGCGGTCTAACTCGATCAGAAAATATTTCCAAAGTTACCCAGAAATGGTTGAAAATATTTTAGCTTGAAAAGGATGCTAATTAAAGGGTTGATGCAGTACCCAAACGACTCTGTGACGGTCGAGTTTGAAGGGGATTGATCGTGTGAATCGAGCGTCAGAATCGTGTTTTAGCAAACAACCTAATGATTGATGAACGTGTACTACGATTGGTGGTTGGCACGGTAGAGAAGAATGGCTCTTGAGCTAAGGGATTGATTAATTCGTTGACAGTTGTTGTACAAAAGATGTCTTTTTGCGCGAACTGACGTCGGATTAAGTGGATACTTTTGTGTTGTGCTTGACAAGACCATGGTGTACTATTTGTTTTCTAGAGAAAGAAAATGTTGAGATAAATTATTGCTCTTTTCCCTGAGATTTTCTGTCTTTCAAACGCTACAATAAACATACAGTCGTATGCAAAAGTTTACGCTGCGTCATTTTTATTAAAATAAATAATATCATTTTTATTTTTCACATTTTTGTTTGTAAATACATTTCTTTCAATAATAAATCATGTAGAATGATTGCAATCACATTGAACGTTTCACTCGTATCTATTTTTTCATTTTACGCTTCACTTTCAAATATGTTGATGTCCGCAAATATTTGCTAATTTGACGTGTATGAATGCGAAAAATACGAGAACAAATGTACACCGTGTGTAGCAGGATGATGAACGGCTTTTTGTTTTCCTCGGTTTTGTCTCTGGAGAAAAAAACTTTTATTTCCAGGGAAACTCAATATTAATAACAGCTCGTTTGTTCTCAACATTTTTGCTTTTGCTCTAAAAACCATCCTGATCTGAACAGGAGATAAAATATAATCTATACGGTCGGGAAATTATTTGATCCACTATTTTAATGATTTCTATCCTGGCACGTTTTATTTTGACGTTAATTGCCTTTCGAAGAATGACAGAATTAACTGATTAAAGCTGCTAGATGAAAAGGCTGTTAATTAAACAGAGTGTCGCGAAATTACGGCAAATTATACGTTTAAAGCCGTCTCGTTCTCGTCGTTTGTTTGAAAACGCATGAATGGACGCGTTCATTCGTAGTTGTTCTCTTTCAGGGATATTCTCCCATTTAATATGCTTTGACGACAATGTTCTATGGTTACAATATCAATGTATAACAATAGGTCAGAACGATCTATGTGACAATTGTTTGTTCTCTATTAGATTAGCAGCCAATTTCGTCAGCTGTGTATGAATAGTGTTTGCTTTAATTGAAAGTAGTTATTTACTGAATTTCAACCCGTTCACCCTCGAACGGCGGACCATGGAGAAAGCCCCGATTTCAATTCAATTTTCAAAGTTAATTCATTTTAATAGCCAAAATTGTGATGCATGCTAGATAATCCAAATAATCAAAAATATAAATTTTAGGATTTTAAAATTTATATTAACAAAAAATTCTGTAAAGTCCTTTTATATACGATTATTTCTCATACTGTCTGGATACAGTTGGTGTTTCTGAGTTGAACAAAACAGCCATCATGTTTCTTATTTACAGCAGCTAGTGGAGTCGTAAATTTCCGGAAATTTTGCTCGTAGATTTGCAAGTGACGGAAGAAGGGGGTTTAAACAGCAAATATTGTATAGGCTTGGTGAAACCGTGGTTCGTTAGTAAACGTTTCACGAATACGACTAGCTGACGCGCCCTTTAAACATGCTGGCCCGCGAATTTTTTATTTCGCTCACGTTGTATACCGGCTTACGTGTGTTACATATAACAGTGGCATAATTCTTCCTAGCTGGAGAAGACTTCCCTCTGCAATTTTGAAACATACAATTGCTTCTTTTTTATTTTCCACGCGCTTGCCACTGTGTTGCCTGTTTTTCGGCAGTGCCACGGGAAGAGACTTAGCCGTTGCGCATCTCAAAAACTGGTAAACTTTGCATAAGGATCTGCATATGCTACGTATGAACTAATCCTTGTGCACCGTTTATCATTTGTAGCAACGCGTTAAATATCTCGAAACATTTAATAAATATTAACATAAATTTTGGATATCTGATATCACTGGAAATAAATTATTTTCGAATAATTTGGAAAATTTGTATCAAATATAAAATCGTGTCAGAATTTTTATGTCTCATCGAATTCCCCGTTTGATACAGAAAACCCAATTCCATACATTTTAAAGAGAAGCAATCTACTAAAATCACCCATTTCTTAGCACCCTCTATGTTTTCCTATGGTCCAAGTGACGGCCCCTTTCAACCCTCGATACACGGTCGACTCGAAGCAGATTTCGGCGTAAGGTTAATCCGAGGTGGTCGAAATCCGTCGAGAAGCCGGCCAACCATAATGGAAGCTGATAACCAAAGAGATTAGTTAGACAGAGATTAGACGACAGATAGCAAAATCGGTGTTCGGCAGCTGGCTTACCGTGAACCGTGTTATCGAAGCAGCCTAACATACGTTTGCCAGAAAGCAGACGGTTGATCCCTCGACCGGCCAGATCGATATTCAATTTTCATCGGTTCGATCGTAACCGCGACACCGTTTCGTTCCTTCGTTGATTACATCCATGCCGGGATGATATTTCATCGGTGTGATTCGCGATCGAATAAAGAGGCCGACAGAAGAAAAATGCAACGGTTCTCTGTGTTCTAATGCGTGCCAAGCGTCACGATTCCATTTCGTTCGATCCATCATCCGACGTCAACGTACCACCACCGCGACAAGAAGAAAAGAAAAAAAAAAATACAAAAAAAAACGGCGCGGTTGGTACGGTTGAAAAATCTACCACTTTTCCTTTTTTTCCTACCGAGTGCTCGGTTTTCGTTTTCGCGTTTGATCCCCGCGGAGTCACTCGGTGTCTGAACTCAACTCGCTGGAAAATTCGCCGTAGATTATGCACGTCCATTAAACGGTAAACAGAGGGCCAACCATATGCCGGGACGAAGAGCTCGCTGATTAACCATGTATAATTAAAATGTAATTTCTCCCTCGTAAACGAGAGAGTTTTAATCAAACGGGGCTCGAACCGAAGAACTAACATTGAGGTACAGGAAGAGACGATCGTCGATAGGGGCTATCATCATTTTGGTCATTTTTTAATTATAATTTCTAATTTGGTTGAAGTGTGAATATTTGAATACTTAACACCTTAAATGAAATACGAATTCTGAGACAGAGTTGAGCATTAATTTCTTCCTGTAATCAAAGTAACTTTGATTTCCGGAAAATTGCAATATATACATAAATAAACAACGTTACACAATATACGTGGAAATAGACGAGATGGAAGGTTACATCGACGCGAGCTAATTTATTTACCACGCTAGCAAGCTCACGGCCCCAATTTCCCCGAAATTCGGCAATTAACGGGAAAATTGCGATAGCGGTTCCTTGGTGGTAGTCCAAAATGAAAATATCGCTCGCAGCATCCTTAAACGAGGATCCTTATTATTTCTCGATAATTTCATTGTGGAACATGGCCACATAAATCTCATCGGAAAAATTAATAAAATAATAGAATAGGTAATAAAAATGACAAAACTGAATTTTTTACAATCTTCAGCTGATAATTTTAGAATTTTTAGGGTTTCTTAATAAATAATTAAACACTCCTGTTTTGAAAACAGCTTATAGTTACTGCATTCCATAAACCGGCTCGTAAAGTTATCGTTCGACGAACAATAACGTGCATGGGAAAATGGTATTTCGTCGAACAACATGGAGGGTAAGTTTTGACGAAGAGACTCCGGGTCGTTGAAACTCTTCGATGATCACGCTTTAACGAGTCGTAAAACACTCTAACCGTCGTAAATTTTCGCTTCGAATGGTCACGGTCTGTCGTACGGAAGTCAGCGAGTTACGATTAAAATTCTAACGAGAAGGCCCTTGCTAGCCAGCTTATCGCCTATTGATAAAACGAGCCACGTTACGATGCTCAAGATAAAGAGGAAATATGGTACAAGTACGGAAAGTCCCGGGGCTGTTTGCACCGGTATTGATTAAAGTGGGGTAATTCAGACTGGCGGACTATTTTCAACTTTCTCTACTGCTGGCACCGTACTAATTACTCGACGAGCGTCCGAGCTATCGGTGGAGATTCGATTTCCCTCCGTTATCAGGATCCATTCGAAGTCTTTCGGCAATTTGGAGCCACTTGATAAATAGACGCATCGTATAACGGCGCTGTTATGGAAGCTATTGTTAACTTTAAAAAGACTAAAGCAATGGTTTTCGAAAAAGTCAGAAACCATGAGCTCTTAAACAAATAAAACCAATGCTAAGCTATTACATTGTACGTACAGGAACACCAATTACAGAAGAAACGAACAGAGTCTACTATTACACATTCTTTTCTACGGGAACACAAGATAATGTTTCATTAAAATTTCTTCCTCTTTGAATTAACAAAATTGCACGTGAAACGATTCACAGTGGAAGGTAGAGAATATTTCTTTCCGCACAGGCTGGAATTATTTTCCCACAAATTCGAGTGAAATACACGAAAACAAAGCGCACACATTCATTACGAATTTTAATTATCGTTAGAAGCAAGATTCGTTTCTGGTAACTCTTTATTCTAATTTACTTCTCCTTTGTACAATTATCTTTAAAATTTCTTCGAATTGTTTATAAAACAAAAAAGCGGCCAGATACGAAAACTGGTCGCCGTTTTGTGCAATCTTTTCCGTTTACGTATTCCG